AATAATAACATCATGTTGTCTTTTTATGATGACAATTATTATGACTTATTGTCTTACTTTTGGTTGCATCCTGTCAGTCCCTGTGATGAACTGAGCGTGACCTCCTCCTTCCTTGGCCATCCCATTGATGAGAGCAGAGCTGGCCCCTTCCCCAATCCCAAAAGAGAAACACCTGCAATACACCAGCTTTTGTTGTGTACACAGAGGACATGTTGGACATTCTGGTAATTGTGTAGATATAACAGTTTTTTGTAGTTTCACCTGTGAGAATCTGAATTCTTCTTCACCAGATCGATCACTTCTTTGGTGTTTCCCACCTGTCCATCAGTAAAGACAAACAGCTGGAGAGGAGAGTTGGCACATAAGGACATAACATCAGACCCAGAAACACACAACTAGTTCTGAGAGCTGAGTTAAGTTTCAAAAACAAAAATACTTTCATGGTAATACACAATAAACAAGCAAACAAAAGAGCAGAACTGTTTCCTGGACACTACACTAACTTTGTATAACTGTTCAAGCTGAGCGTTTAAAAAAAGTGCATTAATAGTCAGTGTAATGTCAGTGTATATGTCTGTGTTACCTGTCTGGGCTGATTGGGAATGCAGGCCTGGCTGTAAATATATTTGAGGGGCTTCAGGATCTTTGTTCCTCCAAGATTAGCCTTCATCTTCTTTATTTTCTTCAGAGCCTCCTCCATGGTCTTCTGGCTGTACTCCACACTCTTACTGTCATTACACAAACACCAATACACAAGTACATGTACTTCGTATCAAAAACAGACTGTTGTTGGGCTGACTGATGTGAGGCAGAGACTCACGGGAAGATGTGTTCATATTTGGACCCGAAACTGTAAATGTTGAAATAGCAGCCAATTGGTAAACTCTTCAACAGCAGCAGTAGAGTGTCCTTAAGGGAAGAGGGAAAAGATGGTGAGGCCACTGTGTGAGAGGCACATCATGAAATGAAAGATTTCAGAGTAAACTTATTATGAATACCTTGGCACCGTGGATGCGAGTCTGGCGAGGAAATCCGTGGTTCCTAAATCCCATACTTCCAGATCGATCCACTAAGAACACAAACTCTCCACATGAAGCCTTTGAAGACATCACAGACTGGGGGAACCCAGGGTACAGACTCACCATCACCACTGGATCACCCATCAGAGAGCCTGAAAATGAGAGACAGAAAAAGAAAATTACATAAATGCTTTTTATTCCAACACATAAACTGTTTGTTAAAAAGTAAGGATAATGAAATGTGTATTTGCAAACTAAAAACTTTCACTCACCCGGCTCAGCAGAGGTCTGTCCTGCCTCCACCACAGCAGTGGGCTGGTGGGCGTCTTTGTAATAAATCAGCAGTTCAACATCTCTGTCAAACTTGTGTCCTGCAGCCAGCTTGACCTGCACACCACAAACACATTCATATTTATTCCTCAGTAACAAGTAACAACCACACACAGCAGACACATCAGCACTCTACCTACCGTGGCCTGGGTTTGATCGGTGTTGAGGTACTGCAGAGGGTCCAGGGAGCAGTTGGACTCTACTTTAGAGATTGGACGAGGAGAGGACACTCGGGCAGAAAAAGACAGACTGTAGGGCACCAGAGAGGCTGGAACAGAAGTTACCTGGAAACCTGCACCTGCACTTCCTGTACACAGCATCAGACTGATTAGAAGTAAATCTTTTGTTACAGTATCAACTTCAAGGTTCACAGAAAAATTAATTGAACCTCATGTTCTGGTTTTCTTTCTATTGTTATTTGATTTTAATACATTTCACTTCAGTTTTATTTGTATAGTACCAAATCACAGTGAAACAAAAGTCACATGAGAGTAAAAGAATTATAAATTTGATTCTGGATTTGACAGTGAACCAATTAGGAGAAGCCAGTATGGGATAAATATGTTCTCTTTTTCTAGGCCCAGTCAGTACTCTCGCTGCAGTAATAAATGCATGAACTAGTTTTTCAGCATAATTTAGTTCAATTGTTGTTTGCCATCTGGCTTCAACAATAGATAAAGCTAAGTATCATCTGCAGGGCCATATATTTGGATGTTGACTTTTAATGTTCTCTGTAAATCTCCCTCATATACACATTTACATAAGGGGGACGTAAACCCAGGTATGAGAAGGTTCAAGGTTCAAGGTTCTTTATTTGTCACATGCATAGTTATACAAGTATAACACACAGTGAAATGTAGCCTGACACGCAGGTGCAGTAATAAAAGCTTGTGTACATATTATGTTAGGTGCCTTTTTCATGGGCACCCAACTCAAGGGAGGAACCAGTGTTGTGTCTACACATAATAGACAACTTAGCAAAGTGGACACAATTTTAAACTGTATCTTTAGGCAGCCTGTTGCAAGTACACATCAGTTGTTCCCATTTCTTTAGCTGAAACCATGAAAAAGTAAAAAAATAACACTTTGACATTTATAAAATAATATTTTGGCAACAATAAGATGATTGCCAAAGTGCTATAGTGCTATTAGATAAAAACTTGACATATCTGGGTAAGCTGTGCAGTGTGTCCTTAAAACATTGTGGAAACTAGACAGGTGAAGAAGTGCCAGGCCTAACAAACTATCTACAGCACATAATGATTTGAAAGTCATGTCCTTAAGAAATAGGAAAAAGATCCAGCTAACAGGACCCGAGGGATGGATCTGGGTCTTTAGTTGATCCATTTACTGTTCATTGAAGCTTCATCAGAAACGCTCTCAAAAGGAGGGTGGCTATCAAGAAGCCATTCTTATAAAAGGGAAAAAGGGTTCGAGGCATACGAATTTACACAAGAGGTGGACTGAAAATCAGTGGCAACAAAGGTTATCTTGACAGAGAACAACACAAAAGGCAAGCAGGATCAAAAGAAAAGCTACAGTTGTCCTACCCTGAGGTTGGTATCGAGGGTTGAGCACAGCAGGCAGACAGAACCTCAGACCATCATCAGCCTGCACAGCCAGCTCAGTGACGTACTCCAACCTGATGGAGGCGCTCTCTCCTGGAGGCAGACTGCCCACACTCAGAGAGAATATATCTGGACTCTCATCACTCTCTGCCAATAGGCAGACCTGCTGACCGGAGCTCAGAGCATCATCATACAATTCACGAGCCTGAAGCACAGGTGACACATGTCAGTGACATTCACTGTGTTTATTTTGAAGCTCACTTATAATCAGGTTATATTTACTGTCCAGCTCACCTTCTGTTTCTCCTTGACCTCAGCTACAATCTGTGTCTGTCCAATCTGAGCGCTGAAATGACAGACAGCAGCATCTCCAGGCAGAGGGAAGACAAAAACAGCCTCTAATGGTTTGTCCTCCTTGTTCTCGTAGTTCAGAGTGGAGACCACTGTAGCCACATGGTCCCTCACCTCCAGCTCCACCTCAATGCTCTTCAGAGGAACTGACAGACAAACAGAAACATCCAAATTTACAACACATCTTAACTTAGTCAAACCAGTTAAATGGACTGGTTCTTATACAGCACTTTTCTACTCTATCTCAAAGCACTTTACACAACTTGTCTCATTCACCCATTTGCACAAGCACTTTTTTCTATACTCTTTCTATGGAAGTGCACAGGCAATCATGCGCCAATAGATGCATCAGAAAGCAACTTGGGGTTGGTACATGGCCCAAGGATATTTGGCATGCAGACTGGAACAGACGGGGGTCGAACCTCCAAATTGGTAAGCAACCTGCTGTACCTCCTGAGCTACAGCCGTCCCCCCCATCTCCTATGAAATTGTATTTATTAAGTGATGTTTTACCTGGTTCCATCTGGACACTGCGTAGACCACAGGACACCATCTTTGTACCTATTCACAGCTAAATCAGAGATTTAATTTGAACATGATCGTTATACTGACACGTAACTTTCATTAAAATATAGCCAGCCTGAATACAACATAAAGTGATTAAGATATATCTGAAAGACTTAACCTGAGGTCATTTTCAAAATATCAGAATAAAAACAAAAGAAAAGAAAAGCAATCATCCTTAAAGATATAAATGGAAATATTATAACTTGAAAAAAACTTTGAAAGATATTTTTGTTGTTGTGTGGGCAAATAAAATCTCTCTTTTTTTTCAGATATTACTCTGACGGGGAATAAAATGGAAAAGACCCACCATGTGGAGACACTACGATCTATGAAGAAGGCTAATTTCGATCAAAGATTCTGATGCGTCATCTTAACCTTCATAAAACACATGGAATAAATTCCTACCTCTTAAAACACTGACGTTGGTCCAGCAAATACTTTCCTCCTGCTGTTTGTGACGTAAACGCGCTCGTTTCTAAAACAGTCGCAGTAAAAGGTCCAGCCGAAGACAGAGATGTCCACTTGTGCTCTGCAGACAGCTGTGGAAAAAACACAGTTCTGAGGGCTGGGACAGTCAGGTGGGCGAGGCTTCAGCAGCCAGCCGAAGCAATCAAGTGCATCTACCAGCTGCTGCTCACCAGCGCAGTTAATATCAATTAACGTCAGTGAGCAGAGAGGAAGCAACAGCCACATAACAGCAACACAGTGCGGTGTTAGAAAAAGTCACTGTGTTTTCCACTTAGTTTTTTATGTACTGCATGAAAAACCCTAATTTGTTACAAATACCAAATACCAGTTTACAATAAACACAAAAATCAGAAACCAAAAACATGAAATTAAAAAATAATTAAATCAGGATGGATATTATGGCACAACACTAAATTTAAAGCAGTATGCATGCAGTAGGGGTGGGCGATATAAACGATATAAAATACAAACGATATAAATTTGGCCAACGATAGAGATTTTGACTATACCGCTCTATCGCGATAGCGCATATTGATGATGTCATCAAGCTGTGCCTGTTTTGGTCGAAAGCGTCACAGCGGCTACAACGGTTATCATCTGCAAATTAAGCCGGGAGACAGTCATAGCAAAGAGATGAAGCACTTTTGAAATATTGGGAAAGCCAAAAACTCTGCTTCACCTCCGTAACATTGATTCATTAATGTTGAATTCTCTCGTAGCTGTTCTATTCCCATATTGTTGCAGTACATTAATAACTACCTTGTATTGTGGATGAATAATCTCAGTTGTTCTCCTGACTGACGTTTGCCCCGTGTATAGCATCCTGCTTTGCGATTGCATTTGTCCCTAACCACCAGAATCCCTCACGTTAACTTTTATCGAGTAGAAAAAAAGTTGGCGTTCATC